ACCAAGTTTATTATATTGTTGAAATGTTATTGATATTATACTCAAATCATCTAATAACAGTAATCCTATACCAAGTTTATTATATTGTTGAAATGTTATTGATATTATACTCAAATCATCTAATAACAGTAATCTTATACCAAGTTTATTATATTGTTGAAATGTTATTGATATTATACTCAAATCATCTAATAACAGTAATCCTATACCAAGTTTATTATATTGTTGAAATGTTATTGATATTATACTCAAATCATCTAATAACAGTAATCCTATGCCAAGTTTGTTATATTGTTGAAATGTTATTGATGTTATACTCAAATCATCTAATAACAGTAATCCTATACCAAGTTTATTATATTGTTGAAATGTTATTGATGTTATACTCAAATCATCTAATAACAGTAATCCTATGCCAAGTTTATTATATTGTTGAAATGTTATTGATATTATACTCAAATCATCTAATAACAGTAATCCTATACCAAGTTTATTATATTGTTGAAATGTTATTGATATTATACTCAAATCATCTAATAACAGTAATCCTATACCAAGTTTATTATATTGTTGAAATGTTATTGATATTATACTCAAATCATCTAATAACAGTAATCTTATACCAAGTTTATTATATTGTTGAAATGTTATTGATGTTATACTCAAATCATCTAATAACAGTAATCCTATACCAAGTTTATTATATTGTTGAAATGTTATTGATGTTATACTCAAATCATCTAATAACAGTAATCCTATGCCAAGTTTATTATATTGTTGAAATGTTATTGATATTATACTCAAATCATCTAATAACAGTAATCCTATGCCAAGTTTATTATATTGTTGAAATGTTATTGATGTTATACTCAAATCATCTAATAACAGTAATCCTATGCCAAGTTTATTATATTGTTGAAATGGTATTGATATTATACTCAAATCATCTAATAACAGTAATCCTATACCAAGTTTATTATATTGTTGAAATGTTATTGATATTATACTCAAATCATCTAATAACAGTAATCCTATACCAAGTTTATTATATTGTTGAAATGTTATTGATGTTATACTCAAATCATCTAATAACAGTAATCCTATACCAAGTTTATTATATTGTTGAAATGTTATTGATATTATACTCAAATCATCTAATAACAGTAATCCTATGCCAAGTTTATTATATTGTTGAAATGTTATTGATATTATACTCAAATCATCTAATAACAGTAATCCTATACCAAGTTTATTATATTGTTGAAATGTTATTGATATTATACTCAAATCATCTAATAACAGTAATACTATACCAAGTTTATTATATCGTTGAAATGTTATTGATGTTATACTCAAATCATCTAATAACAGTAATCCTATACCAAGTTTATTATATTGTTGAAATGTTATTGATATTATACTCAAATCATCTAATAACAGTAATCCTATGCCAAGTTTATATATGTGAAA